AAACAGTTGTTCTGAATATCAATCCTTTACACACAGGTGGTACTGGTACAAAGTTCATTAAAAACAACGTTTACATTTTGGGTGCTCATTATCTTTAGCACCATAATAAGAAAACAAAGTCTACCCTTTCAAAACAAATCACAAGTACATGTATAGCCCTACATGTAGATAAGTTGACAGTGGTGTCCTCTTCCATAATCATATCAGAAAGAAAAGAGGTCAGGGCTTTTGAGGGAAATTAAGGAGTAAAATAGGCAATAGAGATAAAGACCACCCATATAAGACCAGAAAATATGGGGGGAAACTTAATAATAGCCTACATGTAGGACGTGGAGTTTTTGGATCCAAACCTACATGTACTTGGAGGAAAGGTTTGTCGCCAAATAAAGGGACTTCTCTGAATTTCAGGACACCCTCTGAGTTCTGATGTGCATCTCTACTCAGTGTATTTGGATATTTGCTCATACTGCAAAATTTACTGCAAATTCAAAAGGTGGCACACTTGCGTCTCATGCTGATCATCACGTGTCACATGCAGAAATATACACACATACTCATAACGTTACCTTCCTGGCTCCCTTTCAATTTACCGACTGAATTCCCACAAACACTGATAGTTTTTACCTTCCTCTTTATGCAGTGGCTAGGCCTACTTGCTATAAAAATTTGTGGTGCATGTACATGTACTCCAGGCTGGTTGATGTCTTTTAGTTTTGCTTTTAGTTTTGCTCTTAAACTTAAACATTCCAACATTTCCAAAGAATCAATTTTAAAGAGACATTGCGGTCTTTAATTTTAAGGGCCTATGGGGAGTAGGCCTTGGCCAAGGGGAATTTCTCAGACATGTCAGACGTTTTCAGATTTGCTCAACAAAGTTACATGTAGTGGTACTGATAGGGTTAGGACACTAAACTAGAAGGTACCGTACATGTACCCTGTGTAGCATACAAGGGTGCCCTTTACTCATTTCTAGAAGCAAGGTAAGCCTAACGTTAGCCTTGTTAGCATGGCTAGGGAATTTATTCTGGCAGTCGGGATGACGCCACTGAGTCTTGATTCTTCTCTCTGATTGGACAATCAGTGGCTATTCCATATTTCACTCAGGAGGCCAGTGGATTTTAAGAGCAGCTCAAGAAAAGTTTACTGGTGTATAAATCACCTTCATAGCCTGTAATGCAGTGGAGTTATGAATGTTTGAAATACACTGGTAAGGGTATACCGGTATGTGTCTGTCGCTTAAATTTCATTTACATTCATTCCGAATGAACCTGGCATCCTTTTATTAGTTTCTCAGCTTAAGCCTACCATCACCAACACAACGGCCTGTCATGCTAGAATAACCTTTGCGGCCAATAAATGGCCATGTTATATGGATTTCAATACTTAACCTCTGTTGAAGTATGTACATGTACATGTACACTGATGGGCAAACAATTTGGAGTGGTGTGATTGAAAATTTGTAAAATTGAAAGTGAAAACAAATACAAGTACCTCCCTAATTAGGCCTAGCTGGATATCCTTTATCTGATTGTTTTAAATTACATTTCTATCAAGGATTTCTGAAAATAAAGGAAAAAACATGGAATTTGTGGAGATGGAAATGCGGGGCATGTGTGGGTATGTACAATTCACGTGCATACGTACCAGAACACCTTCTCTCCCCTCCGTAATGGTCCTTTTTACAATTATTGTGACAATTGTCGTCAGTTTTCCCAGGAAAATTGGTGGCATTAAATGGAATGGTGTGAATTCTTAGTGAAATTAGCTGTGAAGTTTGGACAACTTTAGTATTATAAGTCGAAAGCTCAGAGCCTCTTTGATGAGAATATTGCATAAAAACAGCACAGAGGACATTTGCCAGAGGAGGAAGAGAACTCAAAGGTCAAAGGTTTTGAGGACTGATTCGCAAAATGGTGTCCTCCACTCCAGTGAAACTGCTACCAGTCACCACCTGACTGCGAAGCTCTCTGACTCACGTTCTTTCCGATTTATTTTTTGTCAAAACTCGCACATTTTGAAAGAGAACGTTCTTGGCTGCAAGAGGATCATAAATTCAAGGTGAAATAATGGAACTTACTATTTTTACAGTGGGGTTTCGCCATTAAGTTTCTACACACTAGCACTCAAGTTAGCAGATACGACTGCATGATCTGATAATTCTGCCAAACTCACCAATTTCACACTCAAAACTCAAAGGGGCAAAAATAGTGTTGCGGTCTATGAGAAAACCTGAACTAAACTCTTAACCTTTGCATCAAATATGCCTGAGTTTCCACTAGTTTATGCGTTAGGCCTCTGCCTATGAATCCTACACTGTACCAAAAGGGTTTCAGTTATTTTTTATCATGTTGCAGCAAAAAGGAGGAAAATATGCAAATCCCTTTATGAAGTGAATGGAGAGTCGCCCCTTTGTCCTGACATGAGTGCAATAAATGTAAGCATCTCCGACTGCAAAGATATTGGACATGCTGAATGAGTACTCACATGAATTTGCACCCAATTTCCGGACGCCACTGTTTCTGACTTGGACCAAATTTCACAGCACTGAAATTGTTAACAGGAGTTCAACAGCAAACCTATGAGGATAACGGTACTTGATGGGCCATTTAACTGAATGAGTTTTAAGTTCAACAAAGAGGTATGGCAACACTACATGTACATAAGGGGCGTATTCAAACCCCGTTCTTGTGTTAAGACGAACACGTGAACGGGGTTTCAAAAGGGGAGAATCAACATGCGCATTGTTCAACATGCGAACAAGATTCTCACTCCCAACTTTCTGGGGAGTGGATGGAGAACATCAAGAACAAAGATGGCGGATATAAGCTAGGGTTTCAAGTCAACTTGGACCCAAACCAACTCGGACCCATGCCAACACGGACCCACGACCAACTCGGACCCATGTCAACTCGGCCCCAATACTAACCCGGACCCACGACCAACTCGGACCCACTAC